AGAAAACGAACCTTTTATGGATGGAACATTTAAAATTGACCGAATTCAATTAGCCTTTCTATTAAAGGGGCAATAGCTGCGAGATAAGAAAAAAAAATAGAATATGATTTTGTTTGTTTCAATCATTAATGAAAGTGAAATAATGAAATAAAATTAGCTTTTAGCAGTCAATTTGGTGTAATTTTGTCAAAATAAGCAAAGAAACATCGGTGATAAATTATTCACTTGCAAGTGAATAATTCGACCTCTTTGAATCCGTATTCATGTGACCTTCAATTCAACCCATTATCTAGAGATTGGTTGCGCATGTATAAGTCATGTTCAGCCATTAAAAGGAGAAGAATGTCAACATTGAAAGTGAAACAAAGGTGAACCATTTCGTTGACTGATTCGATCCACAAAAAATCATTCTTATACAGGTAATACCGATAATTAACTTATTTGTTAACCTATAACATAAAATAAAACAGACCTGAAAAACTCCAATTGCACGAAGTCGCTATCTATTTATATTTATGTTTATGTTTTAATATATCGGGTAATGTGACCGTCGACAGTCTCCGGAGGTCATCTCGATAGTTAATTAGATGGCGTCTAAACTAAAATACACACAAAATTCTGATATATTTAATCGAATACATGCATTGTTAACTGTTTATTTCAGACTTATTGTAATTTGGATATATGTTTTAGTATGTTATAAATCAAATATGAGAATTTGAGTCAAATCGATGAACATGAATTTGACAGCCAATGCCCCTTTAATGGATTTAAAATTGGAAACTATATTCCTCTTGTGTCCATTCTGCTTTCTGCTGCATGACTGTACCATTATAGTTTATATAAGCTTATTTAGTCTTAGATGCATGCTTTTTCTATTATAAAAAAGAAGATGTGGTAAGATTGCCAATGAGACAACTCTTCACAAGAGACCAAATGACACAGAAATTAATATACTATAGGTCACCGTACGGCCTTCAACAATGAGCAACGCCCATACCGCATAGTCGGCTATAAAAGGCCCCGAAATGACAAATATAAAACAATTCAAACGAGAAAACTAACGGCCTTATTAATGTACCAAAAAATGAACGAAAAAATATATATATATAAAACAGCAACAAACGACAACCACTGAACTACAGCCTCCTGACTTGGGACAGGCACATACAGAATGTGGCGGGGTTAAACTAGTTTGAGGGCGCGCCAACCCTCCCCCTAACCTGGGACAGTGGTGTAACAGTACAACATAAGAACGAACTATAAAAAATCAGTTGAAAAAGGCTTAACTCATCAGATGGATACAGATAGAAATCCATCTAACAAATAAAAATGCAGAGTGGACGTGGCCGGGTACTTGTACATCCCATCAACAAAAAATCATAAGTACAGATCTGAGAGTACTCGCAGTTACTGACAGCTAGTTCAAAGCCAATAACAACTAATAAAAAAAGCATGCATCTAAGACTAAATTTTCAATCAGTACGCATCCAACATCCAATGGATATAGTGTAAAGACGTCATAAACAGTCAGAGAAAACATGACCTTGTGCAATGCCAAGATACAGGTATCGACAGATTGTAGATCCATGAAAGTGCATATGTATATAACAATAATATTTAGTTTGCTTTTAATTTACAGATAACAAAATCAATATTAATACCAATAAAAACAATATTCAAAAAAGGCTTAACTCATCAGATGGATACAAATAGAAATAAATCTAACATAAACACAGAATGAACGTGGCCGGGTACTTATACATTCCAAAAACAAAAAGACACTAAGTACAGATCTGAGAGTACTCGCAGTTACTGACAATAAAGCCAATAACAAATAATGAAAAACATCATGTATCTAAGACTAAAATATCAATCAGTACACATCCAACATCCAATGGATTTAGTATAAAGACGTCATTAACAGTCAGAGAAAAATATGACCTTGTGCAATGCCAAACTATAGGTATCGACAGACTGTAGTACCGTGAAAGTGCATACGTTCGTTTTAATATTTTTACCCTATTCCTGTCCATGTAGAACGAGTTGTTTACTGTCACAATGTATATGCTGATTTCAGTATTTTAGCATCACGTTTCGAAATTATTTAGTTTCTGCTTCATTTTTGTAGGCCGTAAAATGTCGATTTTTTACGATTTTCGATTGGTTAATACCAAAAACGAAGTCGGTGACCATATGATTATTTTGTATCATCAAAAACAAGGTAGAAATGTATTTATATCTGACGGAAACAAATTCTCAACTGTAAAAAATAAATATACACATTGCAGGTATGCATATAAATATATGTACATTAGCCAAAAAAAAATGTATTTTATATAAACATTGAATTTTTCACAAATTCATTTGGAAAACTAACTTAAAGACAGACAATACCAAAAATACAATGAGACAACTCTCCACTACAGATCAAGTTCTGTAGAACGTTAGCAACTATAGGTCACCGAACGGCCTTCAACAATAACCAAAGTCCATACCGCATACACGGGTGTCATTGGGTTTATCGAGAAGAATGATCGTGAAAGAATACCTAACGGTGGTCAAGTATTGCGATTGGATCATGAAAGCTCTGGTATAGGATCGTGAATGCAATCTTATCGAGAAGACATTTGCTAGGTCAATTACTAATCTAATTTAATGAATTATACAGAAAATTTACAAAAAAATAAAACTGTCTGTCAAAATGATTCAACATTATACCTTATAGCAATAACACTCTATTTGTCCGTTCTTCATAAGTTCTGATTTCTTATACAAATTAAAGATTGAGGATAGAACTTAAACGGCTAAATAACAGTTTAAGCTGGGCATCATGCACAATCGAGGTACGTTGATTGGTAATTTCCCCACTAAGGTGGGTACAATAAGGTATAGCTATAGTGAACAGACTGATCAAACAATCAAGTAAAATAATGTTATCTTGGTACCTTTTTGGTTTGTGTCAGCACAGCCACGAAATAAACAATAAATTAGCCAATATTGTCATACTATGTACGCATGAACGACATTACATATAAGAAAGTAACAACCCTTACACATAAAACAAACCAAAATGTGTACACATAGATATAAGAAGATGTGGTATGAGTGCCAATGAGACAACTCTCCATCCAAGTCAAAATTTATAAAAGTAAACCATTATAGGTCACAGTACGGTCGTCAACACGGAGCCTTGGCTCACACATATACATGCATATATTTTAAGGGCGGCTGCATAAGCATTATAAATACATTATATACTTTTACTTTACGACCATTTACTCTCCTGAAGGTCCTTTTATCTTGTATATCTACTTATATATAATAAAGAATCGTTTTTAGTTATTTTAATAACTTTTAAGAAAAAGTGTTGAAATAAAAAAAAGTGAAAAAAAATGAAAGCATTAATTTTCGTTCTTATCAAAATAATTACGCCCTTCAACTAGTTGTAAGTATATCAATTGATAAAAGAAATATTGTTTTCTGATTATTGAGCCTGGTCCGGCGCGGGACGTTTGCGTGGTTTAAAAATAAAGTTTCGGTCTTCACAAATTGAAACAAATATAAAAAAAAGATGTGGTATGATTGCCAATAAGACATCTCTTCACAAGTGACCGAATAACACAGAAATTAACAACTATAGAGGTCACCGTACGGCCTTCAACAATGAGCAAAGCCCATACCGCATAGTCGGCTATAAAAAGCCCCGAAATGACAAATGTAAAACAATTCAAACGAGAATACTAACGAATGTCGAGGAGCAATCTGCCTTTTGTAATTTTGTAAAAACGGTGTACTTTTAAACCTTGATTTTTCTCAGATACTGATCATAATGTTGAATCATTTTGACAGACAGTTTTATTTTTTTGTAAATTTTCTGTATAATTCATTAAATTAGATTAGTAATTGACCTTGCAAATGTCTTCTCGATAAGATTGCATTCACGAATATATACCAGAGCTTTCACGATCCAATCGCAATACTTGACCACCGTTAGGTATTCTTTCACGATCATTTTTTTTGGCTAATGTACATATATTTATATGCATACCTGCAATGTGTATATTTATTTTTTACAGTTGGAAATTTGTTTCCGTCAGATATAAATACATTTCCACCTTGTTTAAATTATACAAAATAATCATATGGTCACCGACTTCGTTTTGGTTGTTTAAAAACCAACCGAAAAACGTCAAAAATCGACGTTTTACGGCCTACAAAAATGAAGAAGAAACTAAATAATTTCAAAACGTGATACTTAAATACTGAAATCAGCATATACATTGTGACAGTAAACAACTCGTTCTACATGGACAGGGATAGGGTAAAAATATTAAAACGAACTTATGTACTTTCACGGTACTACAGTCTGTCGATACCTATAGTTTGGCATTGCACAAGGTCATGTTTTCTCTGACTGTTAATGACGTCTTTATACTAAATCCATTGGATGTTGGATGTGTACTGATTGATATTTTAGTCTTAGATACACGATGTTTTTCATTATTTGTTATTGGCTTTGAACTAGCTGTCAGTAACTGCGAGTACTCTCAGATCTGTACTTAGAGTCTTTATGTTTTTGGGATGTTTAAGTACCCGTCCACGTCCACTCTGTGTTTCTGTTAGATGTATTTCTATTTGTATCCTGATGAGTTGTTTTTCGCAAATTGTTTTGTAATAAATTAGGCCGTTATTTTTCTAAATTGAATTGTTTCATATTTCTCATGTCGGGGCCTTTTATAGCCGACCATACGGTATGGGTTTTTCCCATTGTTGAAGGCCGTACGGTTGCCTATAATTGCTTACATCCACTTCATTTGAACTTTTTTTTTGATAGTTGTCTCAATCTATGCACACGTACAGAAAATGTGTGTTAACCCACGCAGAAGAATATCTCAAGAGGTGGACCTTATATCCTATGGAGGCTTCTCAGATTCCGGAAATGATACCGAATTTTATTTTCGTATTAGAAATAATGTTATTCAAAGCGGGAAATTTAAGAAGCCATTTTGAATATCAGCGAACATTATACACAAGTTAACTAATTTATACTTAAAAGATGACAGAAATTTCATTGAAATCGTTCTCTGAAATACAACTGGCCATAAGAGAATATGAAATTGATACAAACTCAAAGTTTAGAGTTGTGAAAAAAGACAAATATTTTGGATTAGAGGGAACAGGTAATGATACAGGTCATATGACATAACTTGTATGGCTCATAAGTTTCAGGAATCAAATTAATAAAACATATGAAAAGATTTATAAAAGACATAAATACATAATAAAAGGACATACTGAAATGTTGGGCAGACAGTGATTTCCTATATATGAAGGATTTGGCAGTGGCGGATCCAGAACTTTTTGTAAGGGGTGGCCCACTGACTGACCTAAAAGGGGAAGGGGGGTGGGGCTGCTTCAGTGATTCCCTATATAATCAACCAATTTTTTTCCACAAAAGGGGGGGGGGGGGGCAGGCCCCCCTGTATCCGTCTATGCTTTGTATATTATATACACATACGTTTTTATAAAATTATACAACTTGTCAACAAAAATTCATGTCAGAGCTGAAATTATATCAGTCAGAATCTATTATCTTTATTAATATATTGTAAAAGCTACCTCAACTAAGTATAGAAAATCTCTGCTCAATTGCATGACCAACTCAATGGCAGATCCAGAAGGTGTGGAGCATTGACTGCATAGCCATAAGAACCTAAAGAGGGGCCTTTCAATCTTCAGTCATGCTTCAGTGATTCCATATATATTACATGTATAATCACCCCCCTCCTTTTCCCATAAACCATAAATCAGTCTCCGCAACTGTAAATTAAACTTAGACAAGGAGCATTCAAATTTAGAAACCTTAAACACAGTTTATTAGTTTATTATCAGTGTAGTGTGTATAGTGTACTCAATATTACACCATGACCATGTTAAAAAATGGAGTAAAATATAGGACTGACTATTGTGAATGTTGCAAAGATGCCACAGGCGTAGTCTCCGCCCCTAGAGTGCTTTCAGAACTCTTAAACTGGCATCTTTTACTTGTACTTGTACATTATAATAAAGAATGGAAACGGGGAATGTGTCGAAGAAAAAGACAACAAACTACCCAAATGTACAAGACAACCCAAGGCCACCAATGTATATACTATACATTGCTGGCATGTCGGTATTTAACTGCTAGTAGTCCTTTGTTCATTTATGTATCATTGTCATTTTGCTTAGTTTCTTTTGTTACCTATTCTGACATCGGACTCAGACTTCTTTTAAACTGAGGTTTACTGTGCATATTGCTATGTGTTTCTTTATTCTACATTTGCTAGAGGTATAGAGGGAGGGTTGAGATCTCACAAAACATGTTTAACCCCGCCACATTTTTGCGCCTGTCCCAAGTTAGGGGCCTCTGGCTTTTGTTAGTCTTGTATGTTTTTTAATTTTAGTTCATTTATATGTTTTGGAGTTTAGTGTGACGTCCATTTTCACTGAACTAGTACACAATTTTAGTTAGGGGCCAGCTGAGGACTACCTCCAGGTGCGGGATTTTCTCGATGCGTTGAAGACCCATTGGTGGCCTTCAACAGATGCTCTTTGGTCGGGTTGTTGTCTCTTTGACATATTCCCCATTTCCATTCTCAATTTAATTTTTTATAGACATATTTTGAATAAGCAAGGTAAACAAGAACAAATAAAAAGTATTATAAGCCTAAAAAATATGTACATGTCTCATTGGCAATCATACCACATTTCTTATGTTAATATTGTACTGTAAAACAAAGATTACTTTTAGATATATTAATATTGCATACTTGTTGTATTTGACAGATTTTTCTGCTGTTATGAAAAAGATCTGGTTCAAGGATCCCCAGCCAGATGCAGTGCCTATAATACCATCTACTGGTGTACCCTTTATTGTTGTTGGAAAGAAGTTGTTGGAGTGTCACCAAGGGTTAGATAGAGACAAGAACCGAAAGATGAAAAGAAAAAATGAGAAACAAAGAAATGTAAACTATATTTTTTATCTTTTCAATAACTTGTGTAAGCATACTTTCATTGTGCCGGGTAACTGTTTTTCACTAGAGAATATTGTGAACAATTATTCCTTGGATGAAAACTCTCCACTTTTTATTTACATAAATCAACTATGCAAGTTTCAAATACAATAAAAACTACTAAGCCACATTTTATATATATTTCCCCTTCAAAAAAACACTTTTTAGAACGTTATAATTACTGGTGGATGTTTTACACTGGACCCGGATAGAAAAATCTAGTGAATTTTTGTTGGTGGATAAAAATCACTGGGGATTTTCTTCCTCCGGATAAAGTACACTTATCAGGCGGAATCAATCCACTGTTACATTTACTTGTACAGTACAATGTATCATGACACAGGTTTTTAATGTGATGAGGTGTAACATGTAAAAGTCTATGATTTAATTATACCTTTATTTCAAGTCATATAATGTTTGAAATTTATTGAAATAATTGCTCGGCATAATGATGGACATGGCCTACATAATGAGGAAATGCAGTCTCCTCAGTATAAATGGTACATCCAGCATATTTCTTTTCAAGTTGATTACAGCTAGTATCTGTATCAAGATGAGATCTCTCAACTAACAAATGAAGAAGAGATGGTAATTTGAGGGAATTTGAAAATACATCACCTGAGCTTGTTTACTACAATTTACTGATTATCATTTCGTAATTGCCATTATAAATCTTCATTGTATTTTACTATTAGGAATGAAGTTTATGTACTAGTAAACAAGAAACTGGTACTGTTTTGTTAATAGCATTTTATCTCATTTGTTCACTAAAAAAGATTTTTGAAAGCATGCAAGTAATACAAAGTTCCTGTTAAATTAGACACTTTTTAAATGACTCGAAAAATCCATGTTTGTGCCCTGACCTGTATAATATTTGTTTTTTTTAAAATCATGTATATTAAAAACAAAATATATATATTATATATATAACTGTAATTATGTTACAAATTTATCTCAGGAGGACCATGACTTCAGTAGACAGAGGAGACAAATTCAACCAACTAAAAAGAAGAACTGTGGAGTTAAATTGAGGATAAGGCATGTTGTTAGATTTCCTGACTACAAGGTATGTATAATATGGTTGATATCCTTGTTTAATGTTCTTTTTTCATCAGTTTATTTTTGTTAAAGTGTTCTATTAAAGTCAGTGATTTGTGATACTCATCAATTCTTAACAGCAATACATTTGTATATATAGACTTGGACTAAGCTGTATCATTAGAAATTCAAACAATGTAAATTACAGTATATTAAACATGAGTCTTCTTCCTGTAAATTGAATACACTAATTGCCTCTATACAATTTCACTGAATTTTTTTTTTATGTGAATTGTTTCTTTAAAAAGTTGATATTTCTTGTTCTTTAAATAACTTGACATGCTTTTTCTCACAGTTGATTTTAAGAAAGATCAGCTTTAAGTGAAACACACATTTATTTTGACAAATTTGATTGTCTTATAATCATGATAGCTATACTTTAAATTGCTTGAATTGAAAACCTGCAGAGAAACAATCATGATTCATGTTGATAATTTTGATCCATTAGTTTTTCTTTAATTTACTTGTTTTTTTCTTTCAGCATATTGCTTGTTTGTTTTTATTTGAGTTTAACAATGATTACTTTTTATTTGCATGTTTCTTTGATTTTTTACCTATGAAGAAGTTCTAACAGACATATGTTATAGTTATGGTGAGTTCATTTTATCTGCATGACAATATCAATGTCAAGCTTCTTTAATTTGTGATCTATTTACATACTGAAATTAGTGTACTCTAAAAGATAAATGTTGATTTGATTTTAACAGTAGTCAGTACCTCAATTCTATGGACTTGGAAAATATGAAATCCACTGTAATTAAGGTTTTTTAAAACATATTTTAGGCTATTAAAAAAAAAACAAACATTAAGGGCTAAAAAAAAGTTCAATTTATATGGTTTTAAATATATTTAGGTATTTATGTAATCTAACATAGATTTTTCAAACTATACCTGCTTTCATTTAAAACAGTAATACTATGTCTACAAAGCAAGGTTAATTTCTCTGGTTTTCATAAATGAATAATTGTACGTTTTACATTTAGACCACTGGAATAAGTACGACATATGAGAAAGATTTGATTTCGGTTGAGATAAAGAAGTTGGTTTTGGACAAGAAGCAAATCAATATGCAGCATCAATTCTATATAGCTTTTCCAGACCCAACTGAACACCAAAACCATCTAAGAGGAGAGGTACAAATCAGTATGATTAAGGCCATATGCCAATTTCACCATGATTTTGTAAAAAAAAATATTAATGCTTTTTTTGTATACTGTAAATTTAATAAATGTACTAGTTTTACTTGTATTACTTAAAATGTAAAAGTAGAACTTTGAAGATACACCAGATAAATGAATATTAGACAGCATATTAGAAAAAAATTAGACAAGACTGAATGAAGAGAAAATTTATTGTTTTGAAATTATTCATATTTTGATATCTAGCTTTCAATATTTACCAGAATAGTTATTGTTTGTAATTTTTGCATTCAAGGGTAAGCAATGTGATTTACTTCCAAATATTGAAACAATATTTTCTGTTTATTCTTTGACTGTATAATGGTCAACTGAACAAATTTATGCTTACTGATATTTTCTAAAGATTGGAGAAAACTGTGTCTCCAGTAACCAATTTATTCTTATTTTAAAATTTACAATTTGAATTAAAACGATACATATCTGTTGTTGTAGTCAGCAAGCTTACTACTTGGAATAGATGACAGATTGAAGGAATACATCAGGAAAATGGTATGGGAAGAAAATATCACCAGTGTCCCACAGATGAGAGTACTAGTAGAAGTATACATGAAGACAACACTTTTCCAAGGACAGGATATTCCCGCCATCATTAATAAGAGATTTTGGCCATCAAATGTAGATATCCAGAACCACATTGCCCTTGCAGTAAAGAAACAAAGAAACAAGGAAATTGATCAGGTATCTTTGGATTAAAATAATAAAATTACAAAAAAGAACATGTGGTATGATTGCCAATGAGACAACTCTTAACAAGAGAATAAAATGACACAGAAATTAACAACTAAAAGTCACCATATGGCCTTCAGCAAGCCTATGCCGCATAGTCAGCTATAAAAGTCCATGCAATCACAAATGTAAAACAATTCAAATAAGAAAACTAATGGCCTTATAAATGTATATAAAAAAATGAATGAAAAACAAATATGTAACACAGCAACAAACGACAACCACTGAATAACAGGCTCCTGACTTGGGACAGGCACATACAGACAGAATGTGGCGCGGTTAACATTTAAGCTAGATCCCATCCATAATCCAGCCTCTACTATCGACAATATATTTTGTTGCATATCAACAACAACAGTAATCAAGCCTCTCAGATGACATGATATTGTGTTGTCTATCAACTACAACAATAATCCAGCCTCTCAGATTGATAAATCATCTTGTCTATCGACAACAACCATAATCCAGTCTCTCAGATTGACATTATTTCTTGTTGTCTATCAACAACAACCATAATCAAGCCTCTCAGATTGACATCAAATTGAGTTGTCTACCAACAACAAATATAATCCAGCCTCTCAGATTGACATTATATTTTGTTGTCTATCAACAACAACCATAATCCTGCCTATCAGATTGACATCAAATTTAGTTGTCTACCAACAACAACCAAAATCCAACCTCTCAGATTGACATCAAATTAAGTTGTCTACCAACAACAACCATAATCCAGCCTCTCAGATTGACATTATATCTTGTTGTCTATCAACAACAACCATAATCCAGCCTCTCAGATTGACATTATATATTGTTGTCTATCAACAACAACCATAATCCTGCCTCTCAGATTGACATTATATTGTGTTGTCTATCAACAACAACCATAATCCAGCCTATCAGATTGACATTATATCTTGTTGTCTATCAACAACAACCATAATCCAGCCTCTCAGATTGACATTTTTCCTTATTTTCTATCAACAACAACCATAATCTAGCCTCTCAGATTGACATTTTTTCTTATTGTCTATCAACAACAATCATAATCCAGCCTCTTAGATTGACATTTTACTGTGTTGTCTACCAACAACAACTATAATCCAGCCTATCAGATTGACATTATATCTTGTTGTCTATCATCAACAACCATAATCAAGACTATCAGATTGACATCAAATTGAGTTGTCTACCAACAACAACCAAAATCCAACCTCTCAGATTGACATCAAATTAAGTTGTCTACCAACAACAACCATAATCCAGCCTCTCAGATTGACATTATATATTGTTGTCTATCAACAACAACCATAATCCAGCCTCTCAGATTGACATTATATTGTGTTGTCTATCAACAACAACCATAATCCAGCCTATCAGATTGACATTATATCTTGTTGTCTATCAACAACAATCATAATCCAGCCTCTTAGATTGACATTTTACTGTGTTGTCTACCAACAACAACCATAATCCAGCCTCTCAGATTGACATTATATCTTGTTGTCTATCATCAACAACCATAATCAAGCCTATCAGATTGACATCAAATTGAGTTGTCTACCAACAACAACCAAAATCCAACCTCTCAGATTGACATCAAATTAAGTTGTCTACCAACAACAACCATAATCCAGCCTCTCAGATTGACATTATATTGTGTTGTCTATAAACAACAACGATAATCCAGCCTCTCAGATTGACAATTTTCCTTATTTTCTATCAACAACAACCATAATCCAGCCTCTCAGATTGACATTTTACTGTGTTGTCTACCAACAACAACAATAATCCAGCCTCTCAGATTGACATTATATCTTGTTGTCTATCATCAACAACCATAATCAAGACTATCAGATTGACATCAAATTGAGTTGTCTATTAACAACAACCATAATCCAGCCTCTCAGATTGACATTTTTCCTTATTGTCTATCAACAACAACCATAATCCAGCCTCTCAGATTGACATTATATTGTGTTGTCTATCAACAACAACCATAATCCAGCCTCTCAGATGACATTTTCCCTAATTTTCTATCAGCAACAACCATAATCCAGCCTCTCAGATTGACATTTTACTGTGTTGTCTACCAAAAACAACCATAATCCAGCCTATCAGATTGACATTATATCTTGTTGTCTATCATCAACAACCATAATCAAGCCTCTCAGATTGACATTATATTGTGTTGTCTATCAACAACAACCATAATCTAGCCTCTCAGATGACATTTTCCCTAATTTTCTATCATCAACAACCATAATCCAGCCTCTCAGATTGACATTTTACTGTGTTGTCTACCAAAAACAACCATAATCCAGCCTCTCAGATTGACATTATATCTTGTTGTCTATCATCAACAACCATAATCAAGACTATTAGATTGACATCAAATTGAGTTGTCTACCAACAACAACCATAATCCAGCCTCTCAGATTGACATTTTTCCTTATTGTCTATCAACAACAACCATAATCCAGCCTCTCAGATTGACATTATATTGTGTTGTCTATCAACAACAACCATAATCCAGCCTCTCAGATGACATTTTCCCTAATTTTCTATCAGCAACAACCATAATCCAGCCTCTCAGATTGACATTTTACTGTGTTGTCTACCAAAAACAACCATAATCCAGCCTCTCAGATTGACATTATATCTTGTTGTCTATCATCAACAACCATAATCAAGACTATCAGATTGACATCAAATTGAGTTGTCTACCAACAACAACCAGGGTTTGAAATTTTGGTGTGGGCTACAAAATTAAACCTGTGGGCTACCATGCCAAAATTTTAACTTCAATCCCTGACAACCATAATCCAACCTCTCAGATTGACATTATATCTTGTTGTCCATCAACAACAACAATAATCCAGCCTATCAGATTGATAAACTATTTTGTTGTATACCAACAACAACCATAATCCAGCCTCACAGATTGACTTTAAACTGTGTTGGCTATCAACAACAACTTTAATCCAGCCTCTCAGATTGACATCATATTGTTTTTTCTATCAACAACACCCATAATCCAGCCTCTCAGATTGACATCATATTGTGTTGTCTATCAACAACAACCATAATCCAGCCTCTCAGATTGACATTTTTCTTTATGGTCTATCAACAACAACCATAATCCAGCCTCTCAGATTGATATTTTACTATGTTGCCTATCAACAACAACCATAATCCAGCCTCTCAGATTGACATTTTTCCTTATTTTCTATCAACAACAACCATAATCCAGCCTCTAAGATTGACATTTTACTGTGTTGTCTACCAACAACAACCATAATCCAGCCTATAAGATAAACATTATATCTTGTTGTCTATCATCAACAACCATAATCAAGCCTATCAGATTGACATCAAATTGAGTTGTCTACCAACAACAACCAAAATCCAGCCTCTCAGATTGACATTATATCTTGTTGTCTATCAACAACAACCATAATCCAGCCTCTCAGATTGACATTATATCTTGTTGTCTATCAACAACAACCATAATCCAGCCTCTAAGATTGACATTATATATTGTTGTCTATCAACAACAACCATAATCCAGCCTCTCACATCGACATTATATCTTGTTGTCTATCAACAACAACCATAATCCAACCTCTCAGATTGACATTTTTCCTTATTTTCTATCAACAACAACCATAATCTAGCCTCTCAGATTGACATTATACTTGTTGTCTATCAACAAAAACCATAATCCAGCCTATCAGATTGACATCAAATTGAGTTGTCTACCAACAACAACCAAAATTCAACCTCTCAGATTGACATCAAATTAAGTTGTCTACCAACAACAACCATAATCCAGCCTCTCAGATTGACATTATATCTTGTTGTTTATCAACAACAACCATAATCCAGCCTCTCAGATTGACATTATATATTGTTGTCTATCAACAACAACCAAAATCCAACCTCTCAGATTGACATCAAATTAAGTTGTCTACCAACAACAACCATTATCCAGCCACTCAGATTGACATTATATATTGTTGTCTACCAACAATAAATATAATCCAGCCTCTCAGATTGACATTATATTTTGTTGTCTATCAACAACACCCATAATCCTGCCTATCAGATTGACATCAAATTGAGTTGTCTACCAACAACAACCAAAATCCAACCTCTCAGATTGACATCAAATTAAGTTGTCTACCAACAACAACCATAATCCAGCCTCTCAGATTGACATTATATCTTGTTTTCTATCAACAACAACCATAATCCAGCCTATCAGATTGACATTATATATTGTTATCTATCAACAACAACTATAATCCAGCCTCTCAGATTGACATTATATTGTGTTGTCTATCAACAACAACCATAATCCAGCCTATCAGATTGACATTATATCTTGTTGTCTATCAACAACAACCATAATCCAGCCTCTCAGATTGACATTTTTCCTTATTTTCTATCAACAACAACCATAATCTAGCCTCTCAGATTGACATTTTTTCTTATTTTCTATCAACAACAATCATAATCCAGCCTCTTAGATTGACATTTTACTGTGTTGTCTACCAACAACAACCATAATCCAGCCTATCAGATTGACATTATATCTTGTTGTCTATCATCAACAACCATAATCCAGCCTCTCAGATTGACATTATATTGTGTTGTCTATCAACAACAACCATAATCCAGCCTCTCAGATTGACATCATATTGTGTTATCTATCAACAACAACCATAATCCAGCCTCTCAGATCGACATTATATCTTGTTGTCTATCAACAACAACCATAATCCAGCCTCTCAGATTGACATTTTACTGTGTTGTCTACCAACAACAACAATAATCCAGCCTCTTAGATTGACATTATATCTTGTTGTCTATCATCAACAACCATAATCCAGCCTATCAGATTGACATCAAATTGAGTTGTCTACCAACAACAACCATAATCCAGCCTATCAGATTGACCTCAAATTGAGTTGTCTACTAACAACAACCATAATCCAGACTCTCAGATTGACATTTTTCCTTATTGTCTATCAACAACAACCATAATCCAGCCTCGCATATTGACATTATATTGTGTTATCTATCAACAACAACCATAATCCAGCCTCTCGGATTGACATCATATTGTGTTATCTATCAACAACAAGCAAAATCTAGCCTCTCAGATTGACAGTTTATTGTGTTGTCTATCAACAATAACCATAATCAAGCCTCTCAGATTGACATTATATCTTGTTGTCTATCAACAACAACCATAATCCAGACTATCAGATTGACATCAAATTGAGTTGTCTTCTAACAACAACCATAATCCAGCCTCTAAGATTGACATTTTTCCTTATTGTCTATCAACAACAACCATAATCCAGCCTCTCAGATTGACATCATATTGTGTTGTCTATCAACAACAAACATAACCCAGCCTCTCAGATTGACATCATATTGTGTTATCTATCAACAACAACCAAAATCTAGCCTCTCAGATTGACAGTTTATGGTGTTGTCTATAAACAATAATCATAATCCAGCCTCTCAGATTGACATTATTTCTTGTTGTCTATCAACAACAACCATAATCAAGCCTCTCAGATTGACATCAGTATGTTTGTGAGTGACTTGGTCCAGTTTATACACCAATAAATTCCTTTAAAAAGGTGTTAAATCCTTATAATTCTTAAAATAGCAACTATCATAATCAAGGCTATCAGATTGACATCAAATTGTGTTGTCTATCAACAACAATCAAAATCCAACCTCTCAGATTGACATTATATCTTGTTGTATATCAGCAACTATCATAATCAAGCCTATCAGACTGATATTATATTCATTTGTCTATCAACAACTACCTTAATTTGTTTTAGGAAGTAGTTGTTGATTTGCTGAAGGAATGGAAAAGTGAGCGCCCTGAAGACAACTTCCATCTTCGTCTGAAGGGAGATCATCTGGAACCAGATAATGACAGTAGGTGTAACAAATTATTATATCTATATTGTCTTTAAAGATGTTAATCTTTTGTGTGTTAATGTATGTTAAATTCAGATTGGATACAAACCGGAAATAATATAAAAATTGTTTAGTCAAAATAAGTATAATTCTATGTCTTTTTTTCCTCTCCATTATAGGATTAAATGCCTTTTTAAAGAAATTTATTGGTGTATAAACTAGACCAATTCACTCACAAACAAATAAAAGTCCAAAGGGCTTTTATGATATGTTTGTGATTGACTTGGTCCAGTTTATACACCAATAAATTCCTTTAAACAGGCGTTTAATCCTTATAATTCTTAAAATAAGAGAAAAGGAATTTATTTTTCCACACTCATAAATTGTATATGTGAGTCATTGAATTGGCCTGGCTCATGAATATATTTGTTGGTTACTGAAAAAATATGTTCTCCATGAAATTTGCGCTCTAATATAAATTTACTACAAAAACTCTTCTTTATCATGCAAATAAATGTGTGTTTATTATCTAAATTAACCATTAATGCGAAGTGAAAATAAATATGGTAAAGTCGAGCCTGATTGCGTTATTATCGCCGCCATCTTGTTTACATTGGTTACAAAAAGAATTAAGTTTGGTCAACATCGTCTATCAAAAAATAAACAACATCAAGAACATCTATCGGAAGTCCTCTCAACCAATCATATCAATGTATTCCCTAATATGCAAATCATATAAGAATTATGTAGTTGTAAAGAGCATTGATATTGGTATGACATTATGTGAATTTTATATAACATGTATGAATATTAGATGCATTTCTTCCATATTGTGGGTGTTTAAATAAGACAAAATTTCTGAAAAAGGACACAAACATGTAGCCTTAATAATATACTTCAATTTTAATTTCAGACTCAGACTTGGAATTGAATCATGGTGATGCGCAAGAGACAGAGGATGATGTAAGAATAGGTGAGGCCTACACTAGGAAGCTATATGGTACAAACAGTAAGTTCCTGTATGTACACCAAACTCAATGGCAGAGGAGACTTCTTGAGCTGTATGGGAAAGAGATCTGCCTTTTGGATGCTACATATAGGACAACCAGATATTCTCTCCCATTGTATTTCCTATGTGTGCCTACGAATGTAAATTACATTACTGTTGGAACCTTTGTTACAGAGACCGAGGACAGTGCTTCACTGATGGAGGGCTTGCAGGTTATAAAAGAATGGAATCCCGAGTGGTCACCCAAGTTCTTCATGTGTGACTATGCCACTGAAGAGATCAATGCCCTTGAAAACGTTTTTCCAGGTTTGCAAGTTAAACTTTCTATTACTTTATATATATGCCGAATTTATATCATTCTATAAAATTTACTTCTTACAATTGATGCAAAGAATGTGTTAGAAAAAATACATGTTATAGGTACTTTAATTATTGTGATTTTGATTGTTTTGCAAAGATAAAGTTGATATATAATATTTTCAAAGTCACCATTAGATTGGTCTAATCCAACACTATCAGTTACACAGTGTGCAATTGTCCTAATACGAGAATTATATACTACAGCTGTGCTTATGATTTGCACAGTCAAATTGCATTGACTGTATAATCATATGTCATATACAGTCACTGACCGTATATCGCCTTGTTTATGATGTTGACAATGCGTTTACGTAGAGTTTTATTTATGACGTCAATAAAACACACAGGTTCACAAAAATTTTAAGACGTCCACTCCAAATAAAAAAATTATGGTTTTTACCCTAAATATCAATTATACTCTGCTCGAAATTATTAGGACAGTTTTAAATTCAACCAAATAGATTTTGAGATTTAATCTTAAACTGAAAATAAATTAAAAGTATTAGGACTATTAAGCAGCTAAGAAAAAAATTACACTGTAATTTATTAAGACAATATCAGCCAATCTAATTGGGAGAAATTACTTTAAATCTGGATAAAAACTATTATATATGTTAATGATGCAAGATTAATCAGAGGTAACTTTTCTGTAACATAACACTTCCATTTTAGGTTCTTTTGTATACCTTTGTGATTTTCACCGAGAGCAGAGTTGGGAAAGATGGCTTACTGCAGCACATAATGGACTGCACACAGAGAAGACCAATGTTCTCTCCCTTTTAAGACCTATTGCTAGGGCACTTAATGAAGATGATTTTAATTCTGCGTTGTCCACTTTAAAGGTATTAAAATAAGATATATAAGCTTATTCTCAGACATATTCAAATATGGTGTTCATAAAACACTTAAAAATTCTGGAAAAAACAATGAACTTAATACAATAACATATATTGTAAACCCATTTATTTTCACATATGCATGGTTCACCTTTGCAATTTTCACAAAAATTTTGAAAAATAAATATAAATGTTTTTATACAGATAATGAAAATGCTTGAATTTGCAACACCATGGTACTATATTACCAGACAAGAAAATTTAGAAGTATGAGGACAAGAATGACAAAATTAAATTTGTGTCAACATAGTTCCCTATTACTAGTTTTTGTTTATGTACATCTTAATTTTATTAAGCTGTTTTGATTTCACTGTTAACCTGTTGTTTGTTTTTATGATACAATTTTAATTCATGAAGTCATATTTCAGTCAAGTTCTGTGTGGAATGAGAAGGAAAAGCTACGCAAATGGTTTGAAAAGACTTGGTTGAGTTGTCCTAGGGTAAGTACCTATGTATTTTTAGTTGAGAAATTATATGATATATAGGCGAAAACTTGAATGTGATTGGTCTGCAAGACCTTCGACAAACTATGTTGCCAAAACTTATTCCCTTTACATGTAAAATTCACTTTGAAATATATATTCCAGCACAATACAAAATCTAAAGTATATAAAATATCTTATAATGAAAATTATATGAAATATTTCATGAACTATATGAGATATCTGGTACATGTATACGATAAACACAATACATATGAATGAAATATAACTCGTCTAAAGTTTATAAGATATCTTATACAGTTTGTAATATCTCATATAATTTATAAGATATCTTATAAAGAAAATTATATGAGATATCTTATGAACTATATGAGATATCTTAAAACCATATAACTATATATAAGATGTCTTATAAACTATATAGATATCTTATAATATTCTATGAAAAATCTTAAATATTATAATAAGTTTTAAAACTATTTTTAGACTTGAACATTTTTTTTAAACACTATTAGCTGTTTTGCAACAGAATAATTATATAAGAAGATGTGGTATGAGTGCCAATGAGATAACTCTCCATCCAAGTCACAACTTAATTGTAAAAGAAAAACCATTACATGTCAAAGAAAGGTCTTCAACATGGAGCCTTGGCTCACACTGAATAGCAAGCTATAAATGACCCCAAAATGACTAGTTTATAACCATTCAAACGGGAAAACCAACAGTCTAATATATATGTATATATATATATATATATGTGTATATATATATAAAAAATTTGCGAAAGCAAATTTACAGATCTAACATTGTTGGGCTGATGTTTAGACCAATTATATATACAGAATGTATTGTCAGCCTTGTATCACCATCACTGCTGGTGATCCGATGGATAAATCTGTTGTAGAGTTGTCACTGGTTCAGATGTACTTATGAATATAATTATTTCTGTGACTTTATCTTGCATTAATTTGTAGGATCCTTTGCAATAGATAATTCAGCTGATCTGTAATATTTCCATCTTTATTAATGTCTTATATATCATGTACTGTATTACGACGCTAGATTAAAACTGGAGAGGAAAGATAACACCCGACCACCGAAAGCTTTATTATATTGAAGCCTAGGTGGCCGAGTGATCTAGAGTGTCTGATACAGTGCAAGGCGATTTGGTGTCACCATATTTTAGTAGTATGAGTTCGAATCCCGGCGAGGGAAGAACAAAAAATTTGCAAAAGTAAATTTACAGATCTAACATTGTTGGGCTGATGTTTAGACGAATTATATATATATATATAAAACAAGAAACACTTATGAACCACATCAACAAAAGACAACTACTGAACATCAGGTTCCTAACTAATGACAGGTGCAAACAAATGCAGTGGGTTTAAACGTGAATAGATTCTACTATCGACTGTGTAGATTATATATTGGGATTTTATGTCTTATTGAAAATTATATAAGTTGATATATTTCATTGTATCCTTGTTATTTCAAATTCCAGCGTTGGGTTAGAGCACACAGACAGGAAAGGTTCAATGTATCTGTTAATACAAATAATGGAATTGAAAGACAGAATTTGTCATTAAAGTATGAATATCTAGACAAGAAAAAAGCTAGATCTCTTAGTCAGCTGTTGAGTGTTCTGATCAGGAAGTTCTTGCCAGACAGTTATGTGAAGTGAGTTGTTATAATACACAACATAATATTTTTTTTTTTATATGGGTAATACAGTTGAAATCATTATGATTTAAATAAAACTAAATCAAATATCTTGAAGCTTCGATTCCAGTTAGTGAAATTTAGACATGTTTGTGTTTCCAGGGCTTATTTGGTATGTAATCAATGCTTATATCCAAACCAGTTCAATCAGTATTTTTTTTTTTAACCCCCGCTTTAAAAAAGTGGGGGTATACTGTTTTACCTCTGTCTGTCCTTCTGTCAGTCCATCCATCCGTCACTCTGTCCTTCCCATGAATATTTTAGTCGCTTTTTTCTCAGGAACTACTTGACAAGGATTTCTGAAATTTGGTTTCAGGGTTTATATTAGTAAGTTACACCGTGTGATGCGTTTTCAGATTCATCACTCAACAACTTCCTGTTTACCGAACACTTGTATTATTTTACACATGATAGCCAAGTTGAAAATTTTCGTCACATTTTTCTCAGGAACTACTTGACAAGGATTTCTGAAATTTGGTTTTAGGGTTTATATAAGTCAGCTATACCATGTGATGCGTTTTCAGATTCATCACTCAACAACTTCCTGTTTATCGAAGTATTTCGGCTGGGGTATCATCAGTGAGCATTAGCTTACAGTTTTACTTGTTTTAAATGCTTTCAAAATAATGAAGTTTATAGTACACCAATAATTGAGTTTAACTGCGTTTTTTGTTTTAGAAACAGTCTTTGTTTTGTTTGTGTAATATTTTGTATAATTATGTTATAAAAAAAAAATATGATGAATTGATTGACTGCATGTGTATAAATTTTTTAATTTATTTAGATTTAATTTAAAGCCTTTATTTTTCATATTTTCAGGTACATGAGAATGAATGTTGCTGCTTCAGACCAGCATAAGCAGTATGATCTGTTAGTTCCTTTATTCCTGCATAATAGACCAAAGACTGTTGTACAGCATTGTATGAGGAGATGGGTTGACTCTGAAAATTCCTCACTGAATGACATAGACCAGACGTCACCATCTACATTCCTTGTGAAAAGTTTCAGCGACATCAACACCAGCTTGTATTACGAAGTATGTTTTGAAAATGACGACGAAATGCCATCATGTCAGTGTCTTGATTGGTTGGAACATCATTTGCCATGTAAGCACTTAATGACAGTCTTTAGAAATGTACTAAATTGCAATTGGGATGCTCTACCATCAGCCTACAGAGAAAGTCCATATATTTGTTTGGATGTGGAAAGTTTTCCTTTGGACTCCGAAGCCGATCTATCCACAACAGATGATAACATTGTGGAGGTAACCATTGGAAGTTCAGGGGACATGGGGGAAATATCTGTAAGTAGCTTGCCTTTACCACCTAAGCAGCAGTTAAAGAAAGAAAGATCAAAAATATGTAACTTACTGGAAATAACGAAGGAAAGATGCTATGCAAGTGAAAATTTAAAACTATTGCAGAAGATTTCAGCCACTTTAACATCATTGGCAAGTGAGCTAAGACAGGACTTGCCAAAAGAGGGAGAATTTATTTTAGACACCACTACAGAGTCAACCCATATCGGAACCAACAGTAGCAAGCAGACGGATACAAGACGAAGTGCTGTGAGAAAATTGTCTTTGTCAAGGAAGAGGAAAATACCGGGCTCAGGAAGACATGGTGTTGGAGCACAGAAAAAGAGGAATTCACATATGAAGGAAGGAATAAATACACTCATTGGTAAATATTTATAATAGACCTTTATAAAATATCACATGCAGTACATTTACATTGTTTAAATAATATTATTGAATTTAGATGTAAAGCTAAGTAACATATATATTACATTTAGGGATGTCAACTCGGTGAACAATTACTAATCGAGCCTTGTTGGTTTTATCGAGCGATACTCGAGTACTCGCTCGGGAATATATCTACAACCCGGAAACACAAAAATATGTACTTTACATTCTGTGGTTTGTTGTTCAACGGACGAAAAACCGGCCACATTAGTATCAGGGACAAAAAATTACACACCATAATTAATAGCTCATTACCTACAAGTACTAGTTTAGTAAAAAAACAATAATCTAATCAATACAATTCAATGAACACCTATATAAAAATTATAACAAGGAAAAATCATATCAAACAATAGTATTTGGTAATCGTTAAGAAAACACATTTAATATTTACAAAGGCGTAAGGATAAGAAGTTTAACTATTCACTGAGGGTCACCAGAGGATTCAACAAATTTATTTTATTTGGAAAAAATTTCTTTTCAACTATTATTGGGGATAGTCGGTTTTGCAACTTTGTAAATTACAGTCTTGTAGACGAAAATATTTGCTCAGACGGAATGGCTAAGAAATGTTTAGTTTAGAGTGTTAGCCTAGGTATTATATAGCCCACGTATTTTTCCGAGGCATTTTAAATGACAATTTATCACAAGCATTCGAAACAAAATGTATTTTATTTACTAATATGATTAATCATTGATGCCTATTTAATTTTCCGAAAGTGGTTCTTAAGTAGATCAATTTTGTGTAAAGAAGACAGCAACATTCTAACAGGAAACCGATTAGTCGAGTATCGTTTTGGTATTAGATACTCGGTACTACCGAGGGATACTTGAATACTCGAGTACTCGTTGACATCCCTAATTATATTCTATGTGTAAAATTTAACTAAATATATTCAACAATTTTGCAATCAATAGAAATTCTGTCATGGAATTACCCAATACTTGACATCATCAATTAATATAATGATTGGATTAATTGTAGAAAAATGACTTTATTGGCAGAGCTTTTTATAGGTATAATTGTAAGCCAATAAGACAAATTTCAAAATTTTGTGTATAGTACAACCATAGCACTATATTTTGTTGAAATGAAAATTTTAAGCCCTGGACTCATTTAGATAAGTTAATACTGACCCCTTTTACTGTCTTTCTTGTATTAATGCATTAACGAAACTTTAAACCAAATGAAAATATAATTGGGCTTTCTTTTGATAAAAGTTAAACTGAGAATACAATTCTAAATCATAGATTTGGTGGAACCAGCAGTAGTGGAAGAAGGTGTGGAGATCATTTTGATGGAGGATGAAGACACTGTTGAAATTTTGGACAGCCGACCTAGCCAGGAAGTATCATTTAAGAACATTGACAGAGGTTGTGCCCAAAGGCCGCCTCAAGGAGACCAGTCAGATACAGTGGATAGAGGTGCGGCCCCAAATCCACCACAAGAAGATCATCCATTAAGAAGTGGAAGTTTAAACACTGTCATGGAAGGTATTTATATTGGTCAGTACAATCAAATCTTATCTTTAAGCAGGATATTATATTTCTTGGGACCCAGCACTACTCAAAAAGTAAAACACAAGAAATGTTTAAACCGTATTAACATGATTATACATATATGAAAAGGAGAACAGATACAACCAAAAGTATCAGTTAACTTACAATAATGCTACTTAAATAACATGTTATTACATAAAATAATGTATGAAATTTCAATAAGTGGGTGAGTTCAAAAGGAATTGAAACTCACCATTAGCTGCCAATCACCAAGACACATATATCAGTCTTATTTAGTAGGGAAATGTGCTCTTCTGAAAGGGACCGTCTAGATAGATGTAAGGAACAGTCCCAACTTTTTCTTGAAAATGCAATTGTTTATTTGATTGTACTTCAAATAATCAAAGGTTCCACATGTAAGTATACATGAATTAAGAAATCAAATATGTTGACTTGGCAATAATTTTTCAGACAGCTGTAATTTGTGAAGTCATTTTTACTTGGTAAACATTTTAAGGTTGATTCCTTAATTATATCATAACAAATTGTTGGTTCTAATAGTATTTTAGCATTTTCTATATAATTCCAAAATTGTTTTAGAAAAGGACAAAAACAAGCTGAATAACGAATGCAGTTTGAAATTACCACTGTTGTTTGTTTTGGTGAAAAAGATAGAAACACTTGAATCAATTAAACTTTTCCATAAGGTGGTTATAGCTACAATTAAAAGTTTATCCCTGTATAACATGCATTTATGAATGGAACATTCCTTAATCATTTACTGCGTAAATATGATACACTGATTTGTTTCAAAGATTTAATTGATTGGTGTTATTTGTAGCTAATCATGATTCTGAAATACAGTTGATTCAGGAAACACTAAACATGGAGGATATTTGTCAGACAGAAGATTTATCTCAAAGTAAGCCACAATAATTTGGCATACTGGTACTTGCAATTGTATTATAATGCACTAAGTTTATTATACTTACTGTAAATGCAGGAATTATTGCGATGTTTTTATTAATTTAAACTCGCATTTTAAAAAAAATTATATGAATTAAACAGGATTTTTTCAAACTTGATGACACTTATGATGTCCTTGAAAATTAGAACAGAAAGCAACATTGTTTCTTCATTAAAAAATAAGGCGATGTGGTATGATTGAGACAAATATCCAATCAATTTTAAATGGAGTGGACTTTCAAAAATGAGAATAACTAATATGATATAGTCTGCTATAAGAAGCCCCAACATGAAAAATATGAAACAACTCAGTTGTGAAAACTAAACGCCTAATTGATGACAAAACAATTTATTAAAAATAATATGATAATAAAACATAAACCAACGACAACCACTAAACTACAACCTCCTGACTTAAAATTTAATTTCAAATCCATAACTGTATTCTTGATGATTTTTATAAAAAGTTGATGCATCTTTTAGGGAGAAAAGGGTTACAAGTTTCATTTGACGATCCAATTGAAAAAATTAGGCTGTTCCAAAAATCAAGTATATGTAAGAACTGTTGATATTCTGTTTACACTTAATGAGACAAGCTGACATGAAATAATATTGATGTTTTAATTAACTTGTTTTTGCGACAGTTATTATAGCCAACTTGACCATGATCATTTGAACTGTCACTAGATATTTGTTTTTTCTTATCAAGTCAAGCTTTAAACAAAAAATTTGTTGGTACATGTATTCATAATAATGTAGTTACACAATAAAGTTTTGGTAATATTAAATTCTAATTGGTTTAATTTTATTATTGGGGAAACGCCAGTACTTTACAAATACTGACATCGTTTCGATATATAATATATACTATTTATGGTGGTGTAACAATTGGCTGAATAGCTTGGTTTATAATCTTTTGTTCATTTATGCATGAAAATTTTCAGTAAATCCAAGCAAAAGGAATATTCTGCTTAATGTGGGCGGCTACATGATTAACCAACAGAGTTTGGAGGATTTAGATAGTGAGTTGCCAGATGAGGTATGTTAATACCCGTATGAAAATATTAGGTGGATTCCGCTTTTAATTTAGCAGGATTCCAGGCGGAATCCACTTAAAAATTGAATTATTTAGACAGATTTAAGGCGGACATGGAATAAAGAAAAAAATGTTTACATTTTTCCTGTTAAGTTAACAGGAATTCTGTAGCAACAGAAATATAGAAGGCGGATAATGCTGGACTTAATGGATTAAAGGCAGAAAAAGAGCATAATATACTTAGAAAAAATATATAATTTATTTAAATCTATCAGTATTGAATTCAAAATATTCACTAATTTATCTTTTAGAGGATATATTATTTCCTTAGATCAAAGATATTTCAAAAGAATGACTATTCCCTTTATCTTGTCTCCTTGAAGCCCCAATATATTACAACTTAGCCAGGCCATTTTTTTAATGGACTGATATTTTTTTTTATCTGTACCCAATTTTTAATCTTTTTGATACCAAAAATATTGATATCATAGAATTTCTTTAAAAAAAACTTTAAAGACTTATGCAATGTATTCATCAATATTTTCTTAGATTATTATGTCATTTAATCTAGTTGATATTACTCTTCTTTTTTTGTTGTCATAAAATGAATCTGTTCAAAAAATACATAATTTTTAAAAGTTAAATATTAAAGACATATGACAAATTGAAAGTCCATGCAAAATTACTATTTATTTTTTTCAGGTGATGAATGCATACATTTCTTCAAAAAGTAGACAATGCAAGGTTGGTGAATAATTTATTATAATGTGTTTTAATACCTTACAATGACTTCACAGCCATATTTGAAAGAGATAATTGTTAGACCTTGAACAGTTAAATATTTTTGCTGGGGATTTTTTTTAATGAGTTATCAGATAATAGTATTAACACTTTGGTCATCCGCACATTTTATAATGTGGTAATTTCATTTGCAAAGCCAGATAAGTTTTCATATTGTTTTTTCAAACTTATGAGTTTAGAAATGTTATTTGTAGAAAAGAAGTGTAGCATTCATACCATGTGCCATCATAACATCCATTTTCTTAGAAGATATTGATTCAAATGATCCATTTCCCTCTCATGGATACCTTCAACAGGTAATTTTAATTTAAACATTTAAGTGTCTTGCAGTGATATCACTAGTGACCTATCTGCACTTAATTGTCCCATTTATATTAACCTGTTTATTCAGAAATAAAATCAACATAATTGTGAAAAGCTAGAATAAGTTTACAATTATTTATATATAAATATAAACATTAACTGTGTAAAGCAACATGGAAACTCAAAGAACATGGACAGAAGCTTTTGATTTTTGAATGTCACAAAATGTCAAACAAGTTTTATTCCATAGTCAAAATTCAAACAGTAGCCACTATCAATAACTTTCAGTTTACAGGGCATACAACTAAATTTGTGTAAATCAGTTTCAGTAGTATGAATTTTTTTTTCCATTTAATTTTTAAAGGTGAATCTAGAATATTATGATGTTTTGATTGGTGCTATATGCGAGAGTGAAAACCATTGGTGTCTTATGGTATGTGCTATTTATCAAATATCAGATTCAGCTTAAATTGTAATCCTTTTTAGTTTGAAAGATATTTTCTGAAACCCATCATGATTTCTTGAATTTTCAGTATGGAGCTTAATTGTCATCACTTTCAGATGTAAATCAATACTATATTTGCTATCAAGTGAGTGTATTTATTTCTGATGAAGCGAGGTAGACACAAGTGACATAATTCTAAGCATGTCAAGAGAATCAAAAATCAGTAATAAACTAATTGAATATAACAGAAATGACAAATGTCATACTTAATATTAAATAGGAAAAGAATAAAGTGTGACCCTCTCTTTTTAACCTCATTCAATACTAAAACTATTTTATTTGGTAGGTGATATTTCCTCAGAGAAGACATATAATATATATGAACCCGCTTGGAGAATCAAAAAAAAGACTAGAGGATTATTTGCAGAATTGGTTGTATGCATTGTATTAATGCTATTATTGTATTGATAAACATTTGATATGCATATTTTATATAAAAAAAATGATTTTGTATTATTCATCTCTATTCTATTTATATAATTTCAAAAAATAAGTCTCTATGACAAGGAAAAAATGATCAGCAAGAAAATGTTTCTGTCACCTTTTAGCCTCTTGTGTTGCAGAGATTACACTAGAAATTAAAAGTGGTTGATTCCCATACTTTAAGACAGGTAGAATAAAAATTCAACACTGGTTGTCTTTGATTCGCAATCATTCATCAATGATATTTGCATTAAGTTTAATTATATACTCCTTGCAACGTAAAAACACAATATATATTTCTTTTAATGTTTTAGACCCCCTCCAGCAAACAAAAAGAAGTTAACAGTTGTAAATTGAATTTTTTTAATAAGTAAATCTTTATATATAAAGTCATAGAATAAAAAAAAATACTTTATACATTTGTTTCATTCAAAGCTATTTTCTGGATGTACCTTCATTGCAAAAGAGGGACGAAAGACACCAGAGGCACAGTCAAACTCAAAGATCGAAAAAAAAAACTGACAACGCCATGGCCAAAAATAAAAAGACAAACAGACAAATAATAGTACAGATGACACAACATAGAAAACTATAGACTAAGAAACACGAAGCAAAGCTCAACCCCTAAAAGGAGTAAAGGCCCAGTAAGACTGCTTTTTGGCCCCAAAATATAGCACTTTTACAAAATTGTTAAAATGTAAATTTTTAGCTATTTATTGGAAAGAAGAATACTTCTGTCACATAAATATGGGCTGTTTTTGACAATACAATGCACATGTATCGGGTACTAGCATCATTAAGTCATTCTAAATTACTGAAATCTTCTAAATTTTAGCATTTTGGTTAATTTTTAGACGGTTTCCGTCTGAAATGGAAGTGTCCACATTTGTGTTCATTCTTAATATTTTTAAAATGTAAGTTGTATTTGATGATAAACCGTTGAGAATGAACACTGATGTGGCCACTTTCATTTTTGACAAAAACCATCTGAAAAGTGACATATTATGACATATTTGATAGATTTTTCATATTTAAGCTTGAATTTGAGCATCTTTAATGACTAAATCAGTTCAAATCTTTCACATTAACTAATTGAATCAACTGAAGTAGACACTTAAGTGTTTAAAAAGTGTCCAAAATCTTTCATCAGATGAACCTGAATTTTGAGGCCAAAATCTGCCCTTACCGGACCTACTCCTTTGTAGTTATGATTGTACTAGTTATATATTTTATGTATTTCACTATGTTTTAGATTATTTCTGGCAGAAAGAAGCAACAGAGGAATTGGCCAAATTCCTTCTGAAGGCTGGTCAATTGGGACCAAGGCACACCGGAAACAGATGGATTCAAATTCTTGTGGAGTTTTTACACTAAAGGTAAAATTTCTCATACTCTTGGGTATTAAGAATTAATAGCACCACAAAATTTCATATGTATACTATGACTTCCAGGCATATTTTTCCAGCCTCTTTAAATTATTTACTTTGTTTTGTATATATTTGAAACATCAAAGATGCCCGTTGCTATCGGAGAAATGTACATGGTCTTATTCTTTGAATATCATCAATGAACTCACGAATTTAAAATGCAGTAATATCGTCCTGTGATGCTGGATAAGCAATCAAAATGACACAGATTATCGTTATCACTTTGTGAGCTTATGCCATCACTTGGCATCCGTCGTCTGTCGTTGTCGTCAGTAGTCGTCGTCTGTCATCGTAAACTATTTCAAAAATCTTCTCCTCTGAAACTACTGGGCGAAATACCTTCAAACTTTAACTAAATGTTCCTTAGGGTATCTAGTTTATAAATTGTATCTGAAGTTTTGATTTATCGACAAATATGGCCACCATGGCTAAAAATAGAACATAGGGGGTCAAATGCAGTTTTTGGCATATATCTCAAAAACTAAATCTTTTAGAGCAAATATGACAGGGGTAAAATTGTTTAATTGGTCAAGATCTATCGGCCCTTAAATTTTCAGACGAATCGAACAACTCATTGTTGGGTTGCTGCCACCGAATTGGTAGTTTTAACAAAATTTTGCAGTTTTTTGTTATTATTTTGAATATTATCATAGATATATATAAACTGTAAGCAGCAATAATGTTCAGCAAAGTAAGATCTACAAAAAAGTTAATCTGACCAAAATTGTCAATTGACCCTTTAAAGACAATTATAAACAATTTGTTCATCAAGTTTGCTAACATTTAAAAATCTTCTCCTCTGAAATACAGGTGAGCGATTCAGGCTCTTGAGAGCCTCTTGTTTGTATCGCACTCCATGCAGTGTGATACGAGAAATATCTGTTCATACCAGAAATAGATAACTCAGGCCACAACCATAAGAGAATACATGATAATAGATTTAGGAAGAACAAACATCATTAATTGGCATAATTGCATAATTGTATAAATGATAGAATATATATTTAGATTGGAATAAGATATTTTAATTCTTTTTTTTAAGTTTGCAGAATTGATACTTGATGATGATGAGAACTTCAAGTTTGATTCATCCATCAGAGGAATAAGGGCATTGCGCCATGTAATTGGGCAGTTTCTGGTGGAAAACAGTGGTAAGCTTTAACTGTTGCAAACCCTTTATTTTGATATTTCCTGAGAAGCAGTTACTACCAAGTGTTTCTTAAAATAAATGTAAAAATATAAAAGTGAAACAATTGAGGAATGCTTTACATGATAATTCAAAGAGTTTGAGCACATCTGTTGTTCTTCTGTTCTTTTATATTTTTATGCATCACCTAGAGGCATTATAAATTTTAAGGTCTGTATCCGTTCATCTATCTGTCCGTCCATCTGTCTGTCCTGCTACAGGTTAAAGTTTTCGGTCATGGTTGTTTGTGAGAAAGTTGAAGTCCAATCAACTTGAAACTTAGTACACATGTTTTCTATAATATGATCTTTCTTATTTTGATGCTAAATTAAAGTGTTGACCCCAATTTCAAGGTGCACTGAACATAGAAAATGGTAGTGCGAGTGGGGCATCCGTGTACTATGGATACATTACTGTCAATACAAAGAAATATTCATACTTTTTATTAGGGCCCCGCCGAATGGCGGACGTCCTATAGTGATCAGTCTGTCCGTCCGTCCGTCCGTAACAAATTGTGTCCGCTCTATATCTAGAGAACCGTTATGATTTCAAAGTTTATAATTGACATGTATATTAACCAACACCAGAGGGTGTGTCATAATGTATGTACAACTTCCTAGGTCAAAGGTCAAGGTCAAAAACTTTGGTTTTAGTTGACAATCCCATGTCCAATGATAAAGATACAAATTTTTTACCACACATTATTAACAGCGGGGCCCACAGAGATGGCTCCCATCTCAATGATATCTAGTTATTATTTATTAATATATTCAATATTCAATTATTTGATTGATTAAAGCAGGTTTTGTACTCATAATAAGATTGGGTTTTGATTTAACTAAATAATTTGGCCTTAAACAAAATTCTTATACAAACTTTCTAAATGCCTTTCCTTTTTGTTGCAGATATGCAATCTGATTTTAAATTTTGTATCTTTTTAATACTTGTATGTTTTTGTTGATTTACTTTGCCTAGATATTGAAGAGAGCAATGATCATGAGCAAGCTTGTGGAGAGTCTTCTGATATTTCTACTGTTTATGAAGTTGATGAAGTTTCATCAGACAACCAAAGTTGGTGTAGCAAAACAACAGTCAATAATGGTGTAGAGCCATTGGTAATTATATGATATTCAAATGACAGAATTACTCTTGAACAGAAAATTCTAAACATAAATACATTACTTCAAAACAAGAATACACAGATTATCTAATATCTAATTTACTTAGTGAGATATTTTATGTGTTTCTATATCTACATCTGAAAAAAGATATGATAAAAAAATCAAACCATTTTATGCAGTTTCACAGATGTTAATGGTTTGCTTTAAAGATAAAGATAACATTTACTGGAACAAACATACATAATTATTAGAATTATCTTATGTAGTATGAAAATCATTATGGGCTATACATTATATATTATTACTACCTAGGTTCAGAAGGCAAAGATTCCAAAGCTCAGAAAACCGAGGATTACAAAAAGGGTAAATTTATTTAAGTTTTTATAATTTTTAAAGGACAAATTATTGGTTATTATTCATTGCCTGTTTGCAGCAATTAAAGTATAATATTTCTCAATATTAATCTTTCTACAGTAATGCTAGCTAGCTAATATTACATACTAAAAAATCTCTAAAGCGATGTTTATAAATAATTGTTAAACTGTACTTTCTTAAATTTACAGGTTGGTGTTGTAAGTACAGAAAAGATGTCATTAAGCTCTAATTGGTTGTATGATGCAGTATCTGCAAAAGTAAGTCAACTTTTTTATCAGATTTAGCACTTGCATGTGGAATAGAGAATGGAACTGGGAATGTGTCAAAGAGAAACAACAACCAGACAAAAGAGCAAAAAACTACAACATGGAAAAATGTATGAAATGTTTGCCGCTGGATGTTAAGCAGCCAACAGTCAATCAAATTTTGCTCTAAAAAATGAATTAAACAATATAAAACCAAAATTGAAAAAAAAAACACAAAAGACTTTTGAAGGTTAGAGTTTCGTGACTTGTGGTATTGTTTGAAAGAGTAAACTGTAGTGCAGAGTTAATACAACATTGTCCTGATTCTATGAAGATTTGTACATTTAAAAATTATTAATATGGAAAATAGCATTGTAAGCACTTTCATGTGTACCATGTTTGCCAGATTTTATCAAATTTATAACTAAGTTGAACCAATGTCTCTGAACAATTGCACCCCCAAGGGTGACTGGGGAATATAGAAGTATGGTCACCATTGGTCTTCCTCAGACTGGCAGTAAAACCCTTGCTAAAGTGGGGCGTCCGTTTGGCTGTGCGGGATGTACAAATTTGCAGCCACGTCCGGTCAGAATGGGCATGTTAAATCTGATGCCTCATGTAAAGAGAGTGCCACGCTCTTTGCACGTTAAGAACCCTTGCAACAACTCTTTGAGGGGTCTGTAGGTGACCTGTTGCAAGGCTAAATTTCTGTCCCTATCCAATATACCCTCATTTCCCGTGGCAGTCTAAATTTCTCCGATCTTAATCCCAGACGCCCCTATTACAGAACCTACCTATTGTATGTATTGTTAATTTGTACTTGTCCTGAATATGCATGAAATATTTGCCACTGAACATTAAGCAACCATCAATCAATCAATCTGAACAATTCCAAAAATCAGTGTATATCAAATATTTTTATTCCATTTAGAAATATTGACTGTATTGGAAAATTACATTGTTTTTGCTCTAAAGTCTTCATTTCTCTAAGATATTGGTAAAAGTTTTAAAGGACAACAAAAAAAATACTTATTTTTAAGATATTGCACTTGGATATTTTAAATACAAGCATGCAATGTTGGGGATAGTGGAACTCTGTTCTATTATTTATTCAACGTTAATACTTACAGACCGAAATCACTCAACGAATAACAAGTGGTATGTGTGGATTTTTGGATGACATGCCAATGACCATTCAAAAAGGCACTGCATCAGTCAATGGCAGAAATTTAGCATCATTGGTAAATATGTTTTCAAGGATATAAACCAATTCGACAAATATTGTTTAATTTTACCTGCACATCATGGCATGACATGTGTTTCTTTATATCTGCATACTGCTGAACACATTTGTGTCCTGTTCTCCTAAATCCTAATCAAATTGCAATGAAATGTTTTAAAAAATCTTTACCACCTCATTGAATTAAATTTCAGACCTGAACATCCATATACTCTAAATTTGTATCTAATGGTTTAGCATGCAATATTTAAATGTAGGAGCAAAGACTGGTTAATGTCCATGTTCACATCAAATTCACTTGCTCTTATCTTGATTGATGCTAATCAGCTATTCGTCATCTTTTTCAAAATCACATACAGTTAAAAGACATGTAAATTTGTGAATAATTTATAGAAAAAGAACACACACAAAAAACTTAGTATCAGGAATGTATTTAAACAGATTTGGTAATGTTTAATATTGAATATAAAATGGTGGATGTTGTACTGAAATTTATCAATAATTCTAAGCATTTGTAAAGTTGAAAAGGATTAATAAGTGTGAAATATTTCACGGGTTTTGTTTTACAGTTTGAAGATCATGTGAAAGAAAAACTGAAGACTGTATTGGAAATCTCAGATGGATGTACAAGGTAAACTTTAAATTTAGGAACTGTGGAAGCAGGGGTTGTCATTGGTTAATGTCTCTCTTATTTGTATTTTTAGTTTATTGTTTTGTACATAGATCAGGCTGTTGGTGTTGTCATGTCGGTGGGAGGGGTGCTGGGCTTTTTATAGCTTACTATACTCTGTCTTAATTATAATCACTTACTGAAATATTTAACACATATTATACTAAACAGAAAGACTGGACTAAAGGTCTTTGACACAATTGTTGTCTATCTGCACCTGTTATGTAATTCATAACATAACTGAGAGTTGCTTTATACCATCATTTGGTCTCTTCTCGGAACTGAAACTAATCATTGCTAATAGGTCATATCATTATTGAAGATGAAAGTTATCATTAGCAAATGTATTTATTATCCAGATGTTCATTGTTGTCAAAATTAGACAATATTTGGTTGAGATATTCTTTATTTAGATTTGAATCCAATTTGCCTTTCTGACAGCCTTTTAATGAGGCATTATATTTATTATTAATTGCATTTTGCCTACAATTGTCTTGTGTTTAAGCTAAAAGAAACATGTTTTTCAAAGCGTTTTATATTTTGTTATGAATAATATCACCAACACAATATTATATTTATCTTCATAGTTTCAATATAAAAGAATCATAAGAAAGTTGTATTATTTCAGTTATTACAGCCCTCACTGGCGTCACATCAGATGGGTAAAAGAAATCGCTTTGAATTTGCAGATGGAAATGAGAAAAAGCATAGCAGGCCATTGTGAGCGACAAAACTTCTTCGGCAATATTGTAACTATCAAAATCATTATGCTGTTAATTCAGAAATTATTGTGATGTTTTTATTATTGCCAAAAATGCGACAGGGTTATAAACGCAATAATTTAAACTGATTTTTTTTTTTTTTTTATGAATTAAACAGGATTTTTCTCAATATCGCAAAAATTAAAATTGTATTTTAGTCTCTAAAATGAAAAACATTGCAATAATAATTGCACGCAATAATTTCTGAATTTACAGTATGCTTTAAAAATAAAAAAGTTTAGTGATGTGACAATGGAATTGTTTGCAAATCAATACTTTATACATTTCATTAAAGTAGTTTTGATCTACAACCTTATTTAAAGTGCAACTAGAATTCTCAACAATAACAGTGGACACTGATTTACCACATATTGAATTACATTTTAAAAAATGACAAAATCCACCATTGCCCAAAGTTTGCTTCTGTCAATACAAGCATGTAAAATAAATTTATTGTTATTATGAATCTACATGTACATGCAGTCTTGTAACGTATACTCTGAATAATTGCAATGAGTAGACTAATTTGAAAGTTGAAAATATATTTATTGTATTCAAAATTTACAGGGATGGAAAGAACTTAATGCACTTGTTCTCTCTGCATTTGGAACATGGAAGCAGAAATTCAAACTGTAAGTACATTTTAAATTATTATTAGGCACTGAAATTGAAAGCATAATGCTATAAATATAACTGGTTATTGTTTATTAATTCATGGACGAAATGTACATTGTCTTAACCTTTGAAAGTTGTCAATGACCTAACAAATAGCCAATGGAAATGTTGTAATATTGTCTCATGATGCTGAATAAGCCAATCAAATTCACAGTGTGATAAGAGAAATATCTGTTCATACAAGAAATAAATCAGTATAAATACATTGATTCTGTGTTCAGACCATATATCATTACTATTTCAGGAGAGTGGGTTGTGGACATGGATATTTCCTGACTGTAAAAGATGTAGAAAATGGCAAACTGTTGGAAAGAATAGAAAGTTTGTATGTAATTTATACTTGTCTTCCATAATAACATTTAGGACACCAGATTAGCAGTTTGTTAATTAATGACTCGTCAGTGCTTGTTTTTATCCTAAATAGTTAACTTAGCAAGCGTTCATTGAAAATTATTTATTATATATGCATACCTATTAAATAAAATGATTTTTTTAAACTGACAGAACAAACTAAATGCTCTTCCATAAAAAAAAATACACAGAAAACATGGGTGGCACTCTATGGGTGGTTACCCCAAGTATGAAGGTGCTTCTGTAACGGTTTATTTCTTCCTCTGTGATATTTTATCCTGGGGATAATTTGTCTCAGAAATTTTTTTCCAGACATGGTATTTCACAGGTAGATTTTATCCAGAGGAGTGAAATTCTATCTGTCTTATGGGATAGTATTTACCAGTATATATTTTCCGTTCCATATTTCACAGAACCTTGTGAAATACAGTACCACTGTCTACTTTGTAAGGTACTCGCAATCAATATATACCTGACCATAATTATAAATGTTTCACCAAGGTAGAACATATTTGCATAATTTATCAATCAAAGGGAGGTAATTATATATGAGCCATTTATATTTTACAGATATTATATTCCAGAGACCAGAATCTATTTCATAGTGAATTTTTCCTTTATTCTTAATTTTTTATATTAATTTTTTATAAAAAGATGACTTAAAACATGATTTAAAAACAACTATATTTCTACTTACTTTTTTATTTGTACTGAGATATGAAAACAACTCACTTTTACCTGTATTTCACTTACCTTATTTTATATATTAAATTAATCATGATATTATTTCACAATTAAGATCTTTGAAATTACTTCTGGTTTTGTTTTATATGTTTCATGATATTTGTCTTATAAAAGAATGATATTTACTTTAATATTTCAGGATATTATTTTCAATTATAATCTGTGAAATTATTTCCCATTATAATACATTTATTTGGTTTTTATACGACCGCAAAAAAATTTTTGCGATCGTATATTGGTATGACGTTGGCGTCGTCGTCCGAAGACACAATGGTTTTCACACTCTAACTTTAGTTTAAGTGAATGGATCTCTATGAAATTTTACCATAAGGTTCAATACCACAAAAGGAAGGTTGGGATTGATTTTGGGGGTTATGGTACCAACTGTTAAGGAGTTAGGGGCCAAAAATAAGCATTTTTGTAACTTCCAGACATAACTTGTGTGTTAGTGTATGGATCTCTCTGACATTGTACCACAAGGTTCCATATCACAAAGGAAATGCTGGGATTGATTTTGGGGGTAATTGCCTCAAAATTTTAGGAATTAGGGGCCAAAAAAAGGGGCAAAAAACAAGCATTTTTATATGGACAAATACTTTAGTACAAAACATTATTTAAAGCAGTCTAAGGGAGATAAATCAAATACATCATTTGAATTACCTCCCTTACACTGCTTTTAAATTATGTATAAAATAATGGTTAATGAACAATTCAGACAATTTAAAACAGTGTAAGGGAGGTAATCCACATACAACGTTTTGATTACTTCCCTTACACTGCTTTCAAATTATGTTTAAAAAAATGCATATTTATAAAGGAAGACCAGTAAAAATATCTGCAAATGTTTTTTGTTTTTTACAAAAAAATCCATATGAAAGATTTTACAACATATTTTAAATTCTATTATAAAATAGATTAAGTAAGCACTGATGGTTAATTTAAATGGGTAATTGTGGTTGCAAATTCCATTGGAAATTTGAATTGAGATTATGACCATATTTTGAGGGAAAGAATTTTTTGGAGGAAAAAGGGAAGGGGGGGGGGGGTAAAAAGAAATTGTGTGGGGGTCAATTTTTTCTCATTTCAGATTTCAGAAATTAAAAAGAATTATTCTTCAAATACTATTTTTTTTTCAAATATCAAATATTGAAAAATTTCAAGAAGTAATCTTTAATTGCACAGTATGGCGCATTAGATTTGTAAAATCTTTGACCACATTTATTTATTTGTTATGCCAAATCTGACCGTGTATTTAGATTTTTAATTTTGGGTCCAGTTTTCAAATTGGTCTACATTAAGGTCCAAAGGGTCCAAAATTAAACTTAGTTTGATTTTAACAAAAATTGAATATATGGGGTTCTTTGATATGCTGAATCTAAACATGTTTTTAGATTTTTGATTTCAGGCCCAGTTTTCAAGTTGGTCCAAATTGCGGTCCAAAATAATTATTAAACTTTGTTTGATTTCAACAAAAATTGAATATATGGGGTTCTTTGATATGCTGAATCTAACCATGTATTTAGATTTTTTATTTGTGGGCCCCGCTATCAAATTGGTCCACATTGAGGTCAAAAGGGTCCAAAATTAAACTTTGTTTGATTTCATCAAAAATTGAATTCTTTTGATTCTTTGATATGCTGAATCTAAACATGTATTTAGATTTTGGATATTGGACCATAATAGGTAAATTAAAAAAATTTAAGTTCTTAGACCACATTCATTCTGTGTCAGAAACCTATGCTGTGTCAAATATTTAATCACAATCCAAATTCAGAGCTGTATCAAGCTTGAATGTTGTGTCCATACTTGCCCCAACTGTTCAGGGTTCGACCTCTGCGGTCGTATCAAGCTGCGCCCAGCAGAGCATTTTATTTATTTACTAATTTAGCTTATATTCAAATACACTATTATTAGTACATAGTATTTGCAAAGATTAAGATTTTTTATTAACTATTCAATATTTTAACTTCCCAGATAGAATTTCACGGCAATAGATAATATATCACAGTGAAATATTTTCCTCCGGATAAAAAAATAACAACAACTACTGTAACATTTTTTCCTCCAGATGATATTTCATCTGGATAGAATTTTGCTTTACACTTCCCTTGGTACTATGTTTATTTAAATAAAAAAAACACAATATTTTACTTCAATCTTCAAATAAGTATTAACATGTCAACAATGTACCCTGTTGGACAAAGCAGACAGTGAAATTTGATGAAATATTGAGACTATAAACTCTAACAGCTGTATATAATATCAGGATTATAGAATAGTAACTTTTTTTTATAAAAAGAATAAATTGAAAAATATTAAACACTTTACATGTAATATTAAAGTTTATTTTTGTTTAATCTTTTACAGAATGTCACAGAATTTAAATGAAGGATATAATTACTTTATGGATGTCGTTTTTGTAGAAGCCCAGATTTTAATTGTATCACATTTGAGAGGAATAACCATTACTGAGGCAGATAAACTTCTTTATCCAGTTAAAAAACATAATGAACAAGTTTGATTTCTTATTATATGTATAGTTGTGAATAATTGTCAAGTGTGTAGTTGTTGTATGAAATGATTGTATAGTTTTTAAATTAATATGAACATGGAAATTGAGTTTGTATTTTCTTCTTTATTTCCACTTTAGTCATGTCTCTTTTTGATTAAATTATAGAAATACACGTAAGCAACTAACAGCACCCCTGGTACGGGATAACGTTTTGTGCTGTATTGTTTATATATCGATTCTATGTTTGATCATGTTGCCCATGATGGCAAGTGGAAGTACAGTAGAACAATATATATTAATAGATAATGTAAAACTTGTACATTATGCAGATAGATGCCTGTTTTGTAGTTGTGAATAATTGTTAAGTGTGTAGTTGCTGTATGAAATGATTGTATAGTTTTTAAATTAATATGAACATGAAAAATGAGTATGTTATTTCTTCTTTATTTCCACTTTAATCATGTCTCTTTCTGATTGAATATAGAGAAATACACGTAAGCAACTAACAGCACCCCTGGTACGGGATAACGTTTTGTGCTGTATTGTTTATATTGATTCTATGTTTGATCATGTTGCCCATGATGGCAAGTGGAAGTACAGTAGAACAATATATATTAATAGATAATGTAAAACTTGTACATTATGCAGATATATGCCTGTTTTGTTGTTGTGAATAATTGTCAAGTGTGTAGTTGTTGTATGAAATGATTCTATAGTTCTTATAAATTAATGTCTGTATTCCAGTAAACATGGAAAATGAGTATGTTATTTCTTCTTTATTTCCACTTTAATCATGTCTCTTTCTGATTGAATATAGAGAAATACACGTAAGCAACTAACAGCACCCCTAGTACGGGATAACGTTTTGTGCTGTGTTGTTTATATTGATTCTATGTTTGATCATGTTGCCCATGATGGCAAGTGGAAGTACAGTAGAACAATATATATTAATAGATAATGTAAAATTTGTACATTATACAGATATATGCCTGATGTGTTGTTGTGAATAATTGTCAAGTGTGTAGTTGTTGTATGAAATGATTGTATATATATAGTTTTTAAATTAATGTCTGTATTCCAGTAAACATGAAAAATGAGTATGTTATTTCTTCTTTATTTCCACTTTAATCATGTCTCTTTCTGATTGAATATAGAGAAATACACGTAAGCAACTAACAGCACCCCTAGTACGGGATAACGTTTTGTGCTGTATTGTTTATATTGATTCTATGTTTGATCATGTTGCCCATGATGGCAAGTGGAAGTACAGTAGAACAATATATATTAATAGATAATGTAAAATTTGTACATTATGCAGATAGATGCCTGTTTTGTAGTTGTGAATAATTGTTAAGTGTGTAGTTGCTGTATGAAATGATTGTATAGTTTTTAAATTAATATGAACATGAAAAATGAGTATGTTATTTCTTCTTTATTTCCACTTTAATCATGTCTCTTTCTGATTGAATATAGAGAAATACACGTAAGCAACTAACAGCACCCCTGGTACGGGATAACGTTTTGTGCTGTATTGTTTATATTGATTCTATGTTTGATCATGTTGCCCATGATGGCAAGTGGAAGTACAGTAGAACAATATATATTAATAGATAATGTAAAATTTGTACATTATGCAGATAGATGCCTGTTTTGTAGTTGTGAATAATTGTTAAGTGTGTAGTTGCTGTATGAAATGATTGTATAGTTTTTAAATTAATATGAACATGAAAAATGAGTATGTTATTTCTTCTTTATTTCCACTTTAATCATGTCTCTTTCTGATTGAATATAGAGAAATACACGTAAGCAACTAACAGCACCCCTGGTACGGGATAACGTTTTGTGCTGTATTGTTTATATTGATTCTATGTTTGATCATGTTGCCCATGATGGCAAGTGGAAGTACAGTAGAACAATATATATTAATAGATAATGTAAAATTTGTACATTATGCAGATATATGCCTGATGTGTTGTTGTGAATTGTCAAGTGTGTAGTTGTTGTATGAAATGATTGTATATATATAGTTTTTAAATTAATGTCTGTATTCCAGTAAACATGGAAAATGAGTATGTTATTTCTTCTTTATTTCCACTTTAATCATGTCTCTTTCTGATTGAATATAGAGAAATACATGTAAGCAACTAACAGCACCCCTGGTACGGGATAACGTTTTGTGCTGTATTGTTTATATCGATTCTATGTTTGATCATGTTGCCCATGATGGCAAGTGGAAGTACAGTAGAACAATATATATTAATAGATAATGTAAAATTTGTACATTATGCAGATATATGCCTGATGTGTTGTGAATAATTGTCAAGTGTGTAGTTGTTGTATGAAATGATTGTATATATATAGTTTTTAAATTAATGTCTGTATTCCAGTAAACATGAAAAATGAGTATGTTATTTCTTCTTTATTTCCACTTTAATCATGTCTCTTTCTGATTGAATATAGAGAAATACACGTAAGCAACTAACAGCACCCCTAGTACGGGATAACGTTTTGTGCTGTATTGTTTATATTGATTCTATGTTTGATCATGTTGCCCATGATGGCAAGTGGAAGTACAGTAGCTAGAACAATATATATTAATAGATAATGTAAAATTTGTACATTATGCAGATAGATGCCTGTTTTGTAGTTGTGAATAATTGTTAAGTGTGTAGTTGCTGTATGAAATGATTGTATAGTTTTTAAATTAATATGAACATGAAAAATGAGTATGTTATTTCTTCTTTATTTCCACTTTAATCGTGTCTCTTTCTGATTGAATATAGAGAAATACACGTAAGCAACTAACAGCACCCCTGGTACGGGATAACGTTTTGTGCTGTATTGTTTATATTGATTCTATGTTTGATCATGTTGCCCATGATGGCAAGTGGAAGTACAGTAGAACAATATATATTAATAGATAATGTAAAATTTGTACATTATGCAGATAGATGCCTGTTTTGTAGTTGTGAATAATTGTTAAGTGTGTAGTTGTATGAAATGATTGTGTAGTTTTTAAATTAATTTGTCTGTATTCCAGTAAACATGGAAAATGAGTATGTTATTTCTTCTTTATTTCCACTTTAATCATGTCTCTTTCTGATTGAATATAGAGAAATACATGTAAGCAACTAACAGCACCCCTGGTATGGGATAACGTTTTGTGCTGTATTGTTTATATCGATTCTATGTTTGATCATGTTGCCCATGATGGCAAGTGGAAGTACAGTAGAACAATATATATTAATAGATAATGTAAAATTTGTACATTATGCAGATATATGCCTGATGTGTTGTTGTGAATAATTGTCAAGTGTGTAGTTGTTGTATGAAATGATTGTATATATATAGTTTTTAAATTAATGTCTGTATTCCAGTAAACATGAAAAATGAGTATGTTATTTCTTCTTTATTTCCACTTTAATCATGTCTCTTTCTGATTGAATATAGAGAAATACATGTAAGCAACTAACAGCACCCCTGGTACGGGATAACGTTTTGTGCTGTATTGTTTATATCGATTCTATGTTTGATCATGTTGCCCATGATGGCAAGTGGAAGTACAGTAGAACAATATATATTAATAGATAATGTAAAATTTGTACATTATGCAGATATATGCCTGATGTGTTGTGAATAATTGTCAAGTGTGTAGTTGTTGTATGAAATGATTGTATATATATAGTTTTTAAATTAATGTCTGTATTCCAGTAAACATGAAAAATGAGTATGTTATTTCTTCTTTATTTCCACTTTAATCATGTCTCTTTCTGATTGAATATAGAGAAATACACGTAAGCAACTAACAGCACCCCTAGTACGGGATAACGTTTTGTGCTGTATTGTTTATATTGATTCTATGTTTGATCATGTTGCCCATGATGGCAAGTGGAAGTACAGTAGCTAGAACAATATATATTAATAGATAATGTAAAATTTGTACATTATGCAGATAGATGCCTGTTTTGTAGTTGTGAATAATTGTTAAGTGTGTAGTTGCTGTATGAAATGATTGTATAGTTTTTAAATTAATATGAACATGAAAAATGAGTATGTTATTTCTTCTTTATTTCCACTTTAATCGTGTCTCTTTCTGATTGAATATAGAGAAATACACGTAAGCAACTAACAGCACCCCTGGTACGGGATAACGTTTTGTGCTGTATTGTTTATATTGATTCTATGTTTGATCATGTTGCCCATGATGGCAAGTGGAAGTACAGTAGAACAATATATATTAATAGATAATGTAAAATTTGTACATTATGCAGATAGATGCCTGTTTTGTAGTTGTGAATAATTGTTAAGTGTGTAGTTGTATGAAATGATTGTGTAGTTTTTAAATTAATTTGTCTGTATTCCAGTAAACATGGAAAATGAGTATGTTATTTCTTCTTTATTTCCACTTTAATCATGTCTCTTTCTGATTGAATATAGAGAAATACATGTAAGCAACTAACAGCACCCCTGGTATGGGATAACGTTTTGTGCTGTATTGTTTATATCGATTCTATGTTTGATCATGTTGCCCATGATGGCAAGTGGAAGTACAGTAGAACAATATATATTAATAGATAATGTAAAATTTGTACATTATGCAGATATATGCCTGATGTGTTGTTGTGAATAATTGTCAAGTGTGTAGTTGTTGTATGAAATGATTGTATATATATAGTTTTTAAATTAATGTCTGTATTCCAGTAAACATGAAAAATGAGTATGTTATTTCTTCTTTATTTCCACTTTAATCATGTCTCTTTCTGATTGAATATAGAGAAATACATGTAAGCAACTAACAGCACCCCTGGTACGTGATAACGTTTTGTGCTGTATTGTTTATATCGATTCTATGTTTGATCATGTTGCCCATGATGGCAAGTGGAAGTACAGTAGAACAATATATATTAATAGATAATGTAAAATTTGTACATTATGCAGATATATGCCTGATGTGTTGTGAATAATTGTCAAGTGTGTAGTTGTTGTATGAAATGATTGTATATATATAGTTTTTAAATTAATGTCTGTATTCCAGTAAACATGAAAAATGAGTATGTTATTTCTTCTTTATTTCCACTTTAATCATGTCTCTTTCTGATTGAATATAGAGAAATACACGTAAGCAACTAACAGCACCCCTAGTACGGGATAACGTTTTGTGCTGTATTGTTTATATTGATTCTATGTTTGATCATGTTGCCCATGATGGCAAGTGGAAGTACAGTAGCTAGAACAATATATATTAATAGATAATGTAAAATTTGTACATTATGCAGATAGATGCCTGTTTTGTAGTTGTGAATAATTGTTAAGTGTGTAGTTGCTGTATGAAATGATTGTATAGTTTTTAAATTAATATGAACATGAAAAATGAGTATGTTATTTCTTCTTTATTTCCACTTTAATCGTGTCTCTTTCTGATTGAATATAGAGAAATACACGTAAGCAACTAACAGCACCCCTGGTACGGGATAACGTTTTGTGCTGTATTGTTTATATTGATTCTATGTTTGATCATGTTGCCCATGATGGCAAGTGGAAGTACAGTAGAACAATATATATTAATAGATAATGTAAAATTTGTACATTATGCAGATATATGCCTGATGTGTTGTGAATAATTGTCAAGTGTGTAGTTGTTGTATGAAATGATTGTATATATATAGTTTTTAAATTAATGTCTGTATTCCAGTAAACATGAAAAATGAGTATGTTATTTCTTCTTTATTTCCACTTTAATCATGTCTCTTTCTGATTGAATATAGAGAAATACACGTAAGCAACTAACAGCACCCCTAGTACGGGATAACGTTTTGTGCTGTATTGTTTATATTGATTCTATGTTTGATCATGTTGCCCATGATGGCAAGTGGAAGTACAGTAGCTAGAACAATATATATTAATAGATAATGTAAAATTTGTACATTATGCAGATAGATGCCTGTTTTGTAGTTGTGAATAATTG